CCAACTTAAAATGCAGGTACCTACCACGCTAGCTAACTTGAGAAACATACGGGGAGTATACTGCAAACGGGGTGGAGTCCCGTGCAAGTTGGATAGCAATGCTCCAAGTAAATCAGGAATTAAGCCGGACTGCAAGCCAGTAAGCTTGTGAGAAATACTCTGCTGCCTAATGACAGTGATTTATGACCCTAATTCATTCGATGTCGGCAGTCCGAAGCTTCTCAACACTACATTAAGATGCTTTGATTAAATAGATTGTTTATACCAATTAAAATTTTGATGTATATATACTTTAATTGTACTTTGGACTTGATAAGTGCTACACTTGGTCCGTTATGATATCATGATGTGTTTAAGCACAATAAAGCCGAGTAAGCATAAGTTGAAACCTCTGATGATAATGTTTTACAAAAGTGGCGAAATTCTCCTTGTAGGTAAGTAATACTCTCCGGATTTCCTCAAACTTACTTTTTCCTGTTTAGGAAGACATTCCAGTAATGCCATTCACACAGCCTTTAATTAGCGAGAAACCACATGCATCGATCTTCTACCTGCGAGGAAAAATAGCAATTAACAGAATCAACATTAGATCACATCTTTTTTCATTTCAATTCTAATAACAAACTATGTTAATTTCTTTGTCACCTTTCCAAGCATCACTCATTGTACCTTTTAGCAGGAGTTTCCGTTTTCATCATTAGGTGCTATGTGAATAGGTCTCGTGTACCAAACTTGCCCTTGCGATCCAACCATGATCGTGTAAACAAATTTCCTATGTAATAACCACAGTAAATTTCCCCCAAATGATTCACCAGATACATCCTTTTATAAAATCACGCACAGTTAACTTTGCTGATGATATAATTGGGACGCTTTTCTAATGGTAACAAAAATAGAAAATAACTAGGTGTCTGACCTTTAGTGTCACCGAGTGCTCAGAACTCGTGAGCATTTTCGGCCATGTCTCCTCTCGTTTGCAAGCACCTGGTATTGTTTAGTTCATTTATTATTGAATTTTGAAACAAATTGTTGTAGCATAATTTGATTTCCAGTAAATGAGAGTTTAAATACCTTAGGGCTAATTTCTCAATATCCCACAGCATTTAATTCTCCATTATGCCGGTTTCCCTGAGGTATAAGCTGTTAAAGACTGCAGTTAAATTCCAACTTTCTGAAAGTATAAAGTATAATTAGTCATTAGCCAGGCTATAATCAGCAGTAAACATTCTTAACTGATCGAGGAAGTGGTTAATTTGACAAGAAATTCATGAGAACTGTATAAGCAGACTTCACTCCCAAATTTACCGTTGACCTGGACGTAAATGTAATTTATTACCACTCAACTGATTTAGCTTAGTGGATGTTCAAGTTAGAATCTTTTTCGCTATTCAATGAAACGATGTTTTCCATAAGCTGTGGACAAGCTAGACGGTATAAATATGCGTGGCATATTAATATTTGTATTTAATTACCTTCTCCTGATTGATTATGGGCAACCTAACCGACTATGTTTCGACATCTGTCTTCAAGAAAGTGTTCATGTTGCAGATTATTGACTTGGTAGCAGAATACAGCATGCCATTCACTCTTTTTTATATATGAACCTTGTTTCTCCGGCCGAGGCTGAATATTCTTATTTTTCTGCCGATTTTAGATTGAAAATATTCTTGTGAATATTCTTAGATTATATTGTATTTACATATTTTCAATACAAAAAAATTATATTCTTTTCAAAATCTCAGCCTCGGGTGTATTCTTAAAATAATCTTGAAATTTCGTAAATCAATCCAGCCTCGACATTCTTATAAAATGTATTCTTATTCAAAAAAAAGACTGTGCATGGACTGAAAAGTCTTCATAATTTGAGAGGGGGCCTATGGTTGCGAAGTGAGAGGTCGCCGTCATGTAGCTATCGAAATGAAACATTTGATCAAGGCTGACTGGCACAAGTTTTGGATACTCGGACATCACTCCACAATGCATGAAGCCTGAAACTTGACTTTAAATGAAGTGGAATCCTCACATCATGACATTATGAAGTAATCTGTAATGCAATGTAATGGCGTTTAACATCATAAAATGACCTGAGTTCTTGTCCTCGTCTAAGATTCTTCGTCAATGCTTGATATACAGGGCAAATTTAGAAGTTAAATATCATAGTTACTGATATCGATAGTTGCCGGTTTGGAGGAATTTATTTCAGTGTTGTTCGACTGTTGTGTTAAAAAAGGACCGAAAGGAAATACCTACAAGCAACGACATTGGTAGTCTTCAAAAGGTATACCGCATGCATGTACCTAAGGTCAACAAATTGACAGATATGAGAACTCTATAGCTGATGGTGACATAGTGCAAAGTCCGTTTCGAGTTTAATACGACCCACTGGTCGCTCACTTTTTTTTTTTTTTTCAAATTAGGTCTAACGGAACATACTGGAACGTACACTTGGGGCTTACTACAAAGTTAGGCCATGATAAAACGGAAAGTTAGGATTAATGCATGTGACGTTTGTTTGCCTGATTTTATTTTGACAGACCAGTGATGATGAATGCAAGTCTTTTTATCTAAAATTAACTTTTACTCGTCTCTTCACAAAAGTTGTGACGGCTTCTCTGGGAAGGGAAATGTCTGGTTGAGACATACAGGTATAGAAAATTTGAAACAACAACTTGCGATCAAGTCTTTGAATAACTTGATTTCCTTTCACCATGGTTCTGTTAATAACGGCCGGTTGTCTCAAAAGACGATGCCACGCCGTGTTTTCTGTTGCACGTCGGTTAGTAAAATAAGGTTTAGGGTTGAGGTTTGTGACGTGGCTGTTTAGGCCATGTAATTCTGAAGCTGGGCAGGATTGGTTTACTGTGTCATTCTATGCGCAATACATTGATAAATTAAAAGTAAATTACATTATTTAGAGAGGAAGCCACATCAACCCGGGTTTTCATGCGGGTCGACCACTATTCTGGTCGAATTGGAATTTAGAAATGTTGGTTTTATGTGGAGCGAGGAAAACCGGATGCAAAACGTGAAGAAGAACCCTCGGAGCAAGGAAAGAACCGACAAAAACTCTACCCAGATATGGCACCGGGAAGGAATCGAGCCGGTGGGAAGCGATTGTTCTCATCACTGATCCATCCTTGCTCCCCATAGACTCAGGTGCAACATGAAAATGCCGCCCCTGGCAATAGCTTTCATTTGAAAGTCTTGCACTAAGTTTTAACAACAAACTGAAAAGTTGGAACAACGCACTCCGCGAGGTTTTACTTTGATAGTAATAGGACTGCTCCGGAATAAAACGAATCAAACGAAACTCGGAAACGAGTTATCGAGATGAAGAAAAACTGACAAATTGAATAAAGGTTCTATCATTGTATTTTCATAAATATGAGGTTAGTAGCTAGGTATTACCCCCGTTAGTTAAGGTGCCCCAAAACCAGTCAATATAGAATTGGTCAGAATCAGCCGACAGAAATAAAATCCCGATCAGAGTGCTAGGGGTCAAGTCAACAAACCCACACAAAGCCGGAATTAGCGGCAAGACGATCGTCTAAACAAATTTAGCTTTGTAACCAGGGTATATTGCGCAAAATTCCTTGTGTGGCTGTTCTTGGGTCTCAAACGATAAGATGTCGCTCAAGTTTTGCTCAAAAATCATAAAATAATGGACTATTAGAAGCTGCAAGAATATGTTGTATTTTGAGCCAACTGCTACGGAGCAAATTGAAACACAGCGTGGCTTTCATTCCTACTGTCGTTTTTCTTTAGATAGATAGATAATCTTTACTTATTCACAGTAAAAAAAGCATTAGTCAGCCAAAAATACCTAATACGTAATACCTAATGCCTAATAAAATGAAAATATTTAAATAAAAAGCTGCTTTCCATGAATGCGGTGCCTTGTTGTTCTCCCTTGAGTAGGCGTTTGAATTGCCTAAGGGATTCTACTTGCGTTTAGTCACAAGGAAGACCATTCCAAAGTAAAGTAAACAAAACTTTATTGGAAAATTGCATTATTGTAGTTTGAATAGTTCATTCATCTGAAAACAGTGTCTTTTTATAAACTGAATGAGATCATTGGAGAATTTTTGAAGAAGAAGAATTTGCAATTTACCTCTCTTTTGAAATTGATTACTTCTTTCGTCTGTAAATGTGTAATTACCTGCCGCCATTCCCCTCATTGATATAGGGTCCATTTATATAGTGTTGAAGTTTCATAAATTTCTGAAATTCAATAATATCTAGATAGACACAGTCAGGGAAGTCTTATCTCAGACGGCCCAAATACAGTAAAAATAATTCATGCTAGCGTGGGATTGTAACAGCTTTGTAGTAGTCCGAAAAATAACTCCCGCTTTCGAAAAAAAAAATCATATTTCCAAGCTTTGCAAGCCGAACTTGCGAAAAACCTCTAGACGACTTTTGAAAGTAATGACGATATCGTGGAGGTAAAATAATGAACTCGTAAAGCTATAATAATTTGTTTCGGAAGTGATTTTGGCTCACATTTAGCTAGCCATCTGTTTGAAAACTCCGTCGTTACAGTTTCCTGTGGTTAAGTGGTCTCTCCATGTGTTCCTTTACCTACCATTAGGCAATTAACTCCATCACAGACAAGAATTGTAAAACTCAGCTGTTTTTGATTTAGGTTAACCACAGCTAATACGTTTATTTAATAAAACTGTTTCTACCCTTAATCTAGAAAAATCCATTCTCAAAATTGTGGAACGAAATCAGTTAAAACACGCCTATTGAATAAATATGTTTCAGACTTAAATCTAGAAAAATCCATTTTCAAAAATTAAGACAACATAACCTGTATATGTTACAGAATGAATACTTAGACAATCCGGTATTAAGTTAATCCCGCAATGGAGAAACCCTTCTGAGCTACATGCCACCTGCTTTTGATTTAAACTAATTTTAATTTAATCGAACGATTTAAACGAACTTTAGTCATTTTTCAGCACAAAAATGGACCCTAGATTATTGGGGGAGGAAAAGTCTATGATTACAGCGTTGTTCTTTTACTTATTTGACGAGTCAATCGCGCATCCTAAGTCTTGTTGAAAGTAATGATTGTAAAAATGGTGTGGGAAGATTCATTTCCGGAGATGATATCGTTATAATTCAATATTCCATTGTTTAACCTGTCATCGTGCAATATATAGTAAATAAGGGTGATTTGTAGCGGAATGGAGCTGATTTTCTTTCTCACTAAAGCTTTATATATGCCTATAAATGACCAGTCCTTTATCCAGGCCACTGTACCGGTAAAGAAGGGAAATCCAAACTTCTTCAGCTTTTTCGGATTCAACAGTTGCAACCTAATGCACCACGTTGTGGCTACCTTTAAAAGGTAACCAAATTGTTGACTTGCAATTGGGAACCCTCGCTTTGTAAAGGTCAAGTATTCACTTGCGTCTTTTTGTAATTTGCTTTATTAGTAAGCTCATCCCGATTAACTCGCACGAGGTTGCCGCGTAACTGGATCTAGCCGGATCACCAGACAGAGTGGGAGGAGATTGTTTGCTTTGATCTTGTATTAGGTTGAACATTGTTTGCTTTTGTTTATATCTCGCATGCCATGAGACATCTTGCATCACTGTAATGCTGACTGCACCATCGAAGTATAACTGCTGAAGATGGGTAACATAGGAGAAGAAGGCAAGGACACCAAGCCTGACAAAAACGTCAAGAGGAAGAGTAAGCGTCGACCACCTCGATTGACCGGTGTCAGCAAACAACGTAAAATGGCAAATGAGCGGGAAAGACGGAGAGTTCACGCTCTGAATTCGCACATTGAGAATCTACGAGATCATATTCCGCTCTCACCATTTGAGAAGCGACCGACCAAGACCGAGGTAATCTGGATGGCAGCAACGTATATTAAATTTCTCACAGACCTGCTGGAAAAGAGCGACAAAACCGCTGACAATACACTGGAACTGGGTGCTGACGATACTTCGCAGAGTTTGGATCTAACTTTTATAGATATAGCAGGTTAGTAACGTACCAGTCTGAATAGTACGATTCTGTCAGGGTCCATTTCCATAACTCAGTCTGCAATCTTACTTTTGTTAGTCACTGATATCGACGTGGTTTGATGTAACTTTTTTTTCTTGATAGTGTCCGATATTTTTTGCCTTGACGAATGTTCCGCAGTGGCCGAACTCGATCTTGACGACATTTTATTTCTTACAGGTAAATTATCCCTTTCGTAAATGTTGTCCTTGAGTAGTTAATCATGTTGATTTTCGTTTATCTTAATAAACGTCTGGCTTTTCAAGTTTTAAATGTTGTTTACATTTTATTGTTTGTAGACTCTGAGGCACAGTTAAGCGAAAATTGACTTCTCGGAGGTATCTACTCCAATTTGATGTTTGAAGAGCCTTTTCAAGTAGCTGATGATTATGTCACAAAGACGATTTAATCATCACTTAGCTGGATCGAGTACCAAGTTTTTGAAAATACAGAACTTTGTGTATATACAACTGCAAAAAACCTAGAATTATTATAATATTTTTGGTAATTATGTTAAAAACGCAAGTTACATGACATGATGGCAGAAACGTCAATAGCCCACGACCTCGGATGACGTTGAAGCTCTCGAGTTTTGAGTAAGGTCTATTTCGCGTTTGAGGAGTTTGTAATTATAGGCACTTTGTAAAATAAAACCTTGAATTATAGCTTGAGTCGTAAGGCTTTTGTCCTCCCTGATAAGACACAGGGAAAGACCGGCGCAACCCTTTTTGGATGAATGCTGAAAAACACACACGTCGGGGCAATGTAAACATAACCGGGCAAGTTTCGTTTCGTACTGAGATTAATTATTGCTTTATTGTACTGTTTTTCTTGCTTAGATCATTTGCCTTGAATTTTAATAGCTTGAAGATATTTTTAGTCCGTGGCGGCTCCGGAGGTTTATGCATGAAATGATCAGGCGGCCTCATTGAGAATATATATACCTGGTAAGCGTTGACAAGTGGTTTCAACTGGCTAATCACGGAACTTAGAGTGCACCTTACACTAGATAACAAAGATATTTTGGAATTAACCGCACGAAAAACCAGCCAGCGTTTTCATTCGATTCATGTACATTGCAACCAGTAACGGTAACAGTAACAGTTAGAGCTGTGAAGTCATCTCAGTCGAAAAAACTGATTCTTTTTTTGTCGGTGTTGCATGTGCGTGTTTCCTTCACGAATATACGTGGATATGTTCGAATAATTAAATATCAGTGGCTTAAGAGGAATAAGATAACAACTATATTTATCGGACATTTTACACGATGACTACGTCAGCCGGCAACCTCGGAAAAAAATATTTAGTAGAAGTTATTAAAAATCTCTCATACACCAAAAAAACCGCCTTTCATACATCAACTAAACTTATTCTAAGATTGCCATGCGCAATGTAATTTTCGGTGGAATCAGCCCGCATTTGTAGCAATTTGGTAATAACTTGCAGCGTTATTCTTCTGAGTTGGAACTCCGCCTTAAAAAGCTAGAAAAGTCTTCTGAGGAACACACGAGAATCACCGAACGCGTGTAAAAGTGCCTTACCTTGCCGATGCGACATGACTCGGTCACTGCGTACGTTTAGTCGAGATAAACTGAGGTAAAATGGTATTTCCTTTCTCTGGTCGTTGTTTACAGTGACCTTTTCGCTTCTTAAGTAGTTTTACTGTAAAAACTGTTTTTATCAAAACGAAAACCCCTTTGGCGGTCGGTGATAATTACCGCATAACAACTTCAACAGACATTTCCAGACCTTGCTACTCCACTGTGATTATGGGGAAGCAACAAGGTAGCGCGTTTGATTGTGTGAGAAGAATACTCGTGAACTGAAAATGTGGTTCATGTATTTACAACCCTTGTAAATATTACTTCTTCAACTTGATTGGAACTTTTTCATGGCAAAATCACTTTTAAATTATGCATGAAACAAGACTGCTTTTCGAGTTCTTGGCGAAAAAAAGAACCATGTTGGGAGTGCGTACATGTTAAGGAAGTCTCTGTTCAAGAATTAAAAGAACAACTTTTATTCAAAATAGTGTTTCACTCACTTTGAGTTCTTCTCTCTCCATTTCCAAGGCAGGCTGGTACTATGACTGGCTCACATTAGGTCGTGCGCGACCACTAATATATCGCTATCATGTTACCGCTTGTCCGGCAGGCTAAGAACGATTTGCTAAAAGATAATTGGGGAAGGAAACTAAGTTTCAACTCTGTGGGAAAAATCTTCGTGCGCTGAGGCACAAGGCACAGGGGACTTTAAACACTTTTACTGCCATTTTGGGTACTTAGTTAAAATGAAATCGATAAGGAAACTTCGTTTGTTGACCAGCGTTTTGTTACTTCATGGCAAAATCTTTCATCCTCCCTAAAAGTTTCAAGTGTAAGATAAAATCGATTCGGCCGAATCAAAATTTAAACCAATTCAGTTTTATTGGCCATCATTCAGACAGTTGTTGTGTTTTGTGATTTTGGAGACTTACAGCGCCTCAGTTTGTCATTTCTATAAAATTAAATTCTGTCACGTGAAAAGCGCAAAGTAAATGATCCTCGACTGCATAGCAAGAAGTTCAAATACCAGCCAGTCTTTAAAGTTAGCACTGTAGCTGAAACGAGCCAACATGCCGACCTCTCATAACAAAAAAAAACAACAAACAAACCAATATGTTGAAATCTAAACTACCTGGGCGTGATCGTGAATAGGTTCGCAATCGAGTACTTTAATTATAGCTTGGCATCTGATGTTACTTTCGTAACTCGTTTTCTTCTTTGTTTTGCTTACATAACACTATTACGTATTAACGATTATGTACATTTTTAAAGTTTTTGCTATTCATGCTGTGATTGCTGTGATCAATGCAAGTTTCGTAATCTAACCTTTGGAATTATGTTATTGGAGATACAACATTTTTATCAGTTTAGTTACGCCATCTACGTTCTCGCTATTATTTTATGCTATCGCTACCATCGCTATCGTGCTAAGCTATCGTTTCTACAATTGCTACCCTCGCAGGAGCAAGATCAAAGTAAGTCTGCACATCTTTAGTCGTAGTCGTTTCGTTATAGTTTAAGATTTATGTTCCATCGGTATCCTTGATTTGTGTTTTGTATCTTTAGCTAGTATTAACTAGTATACTAGTATTAGTATAAGCCTTTTGTATCGTTTTGCTTTTAGTTCGAACCACACAATCACAACCACAACGACTTCACATCACAAGTACATCCTCATTTTGTTATCCTGATTCCTATATCGTTGATTCATCGCTCCTTCCAATAAACGCTAACGATTGATTTTATTGTGACCTGGTTTCTTTGGAATTACAATGTGCGTCAATGTGCGTTCGAGTGTTTCAAGCTCCCGTTAAGCCCTAATCTACACGTGGCTTCGTTCCTGGAAAGTCACATCTGATGAGACTTCCGTGGGGGTGGATGTGAGGGGGAAATCGGATTCTTGTGTTTGTTCACACTATACATGTTACGAAAAATTGTCTAAGTCTAGTTCTAGAACAATCTAGAACCTGAAATCATTCAGGCGTGACCAATTTGTATAAGAACATTCCCGAACATTCTAATCCTTATGTAATTACTCAGATTAGAAACTGTGTCAAACTACTTAATTTAGCTTGTAATGGAAGTTTCTAGAACTTTAAGCCTCATGTATATTAGAGCGAGCGTTTCTTCTGTGAGAGAGATTGATTAAAATTTGAAGAAGCTTAGTGCTGTAAATTCGTGAAGTTATCTTACGGAAATAAATTAGTTTGCTGCTGTTACCGACGATCCTGAGTTCTGTCTGGAAACAACCCTGTTCTACAACGATACTCGTAACAATACACTATATCAACTTTTCTAGTGGTTACAGTCGAAGAGCACTGTCTCAGTCAATCTGTCATTTTTGAAATAAAGCTCACTTTCAAGTTATTGAACAGTGAGCTTGAGGCTCGGGGAATGAAACAGAAAATAATTTTTGGTGAAATCCTCGGGACCACTTTTCTGTTTTCTCAGTGGTGCAAAAATACCCAGTTGCTGTTAGTCACGCATGAGTGACCGTGGTGCAGGAAGTATTTTTGTCCCAGCCTCTATAACAAAATTCTTGACGTTTTGGTGTTTCAGTCTTTCGAAAGTCAAGTTGGCAAGTAAAATCTACCACAACAACTCAACAAATGTGTGCCTATGAACTGTTTGGCAACGAGATTGATTCGGCTCCATCTCATTGCCTGCATTCCAAATCAGCCGTGACTTTTTCTTTGGCACTTTACTAATAGTCGTTTTATTTTGCACAATTAGGTTGCATCCATCTTTCTAATCCCCTATCTAATCCTTTAACGATGATCTAATTGAATCAGGGTTTTGTTTGAGCAGACATTGACAAAAACTGAGCTGGAATAATAGATGATCGCTATATACAGCGAACTGAAAGAAAGCGAAAAGACAAATTTACGATCAAGTTGCAGCTGATAGATCTTGATTCCAGACACGAATTGGCCATTGCATTTTACAACAAGTGGTAAACACAGAAATTCCTTCGTAAGCCAGATATGAGAATAAACCAAATGTTTATTTACAGCAGTGAAAGTTTCAGCCTGCCATTTTAAAACCTTTTACACAGATGCTTCAATTTGAAGAAAGTGTTTCTCCTGTTTACAATATTAGTTGTGTAGTGTACGCATAGCTCCAGTCTGATACAGTCTGAGATCTTATGATAGCGAAACACACGTACCAATTCCATTATGGAAAAATAATCAAATGTAGTCAAATACACTGCAAAAAATAGCTCTCAAACTTTTTTAGTTCAGTTTGTATTGTTCCAAAAGTCCTCATCGTCAATCTTTTCCTTTTTAACGACAACGCTAAACGCCTCAGCATTCCCATGGATATCCGAGTCACGCTTGCCGATGTTTGTCAGCAATTCTGTGAGATGATGGATGTAGAGGGCAGCCAATCTAACCGTCTCTATCTTTGAAGGTCGTTTCTCGGTCGGTGACAGTGGTATTAACTCGCGAAGGCTCTCAAACGCGCTGTTTATGACTCTTACGCGGCTCCTTTCTCTAGCGTTCGCCGATTTTCTTTGTTTGCTGACGCCAGTCAATCTTGGCCCTCGTCGTCTGTGCTTTTTCCTCGCCTGCGTCAGTGAAGAAGGTACTTCTGGTGTCTCTAACTTGCACACAGGACTGCAAGCATTCATAACTCTAACGCTACCTCCCGTTGTAGAATTGACCATTTTTCAAGACCTGTCCAGTAAATAAAACTATCTCAGTAGTGGAATAGTTCTTCAGTTGTGAGTATTCGGCCCCGCGTGAAGACTACGCCTTATTTAAGACAATGCATTGTTGGCTGCTGTTAATTAAATGTTCTTGTTAAGTTTGCTTGTTGATGAAATCGATGTGGTAAATTTATTAAAATCTGACTCTCTACAAACACAAACATTTCATAGGAATGTGGAATTATGTTTGTCTTTGGTAAATCAATTAACCCTCCACATTATGTCACTTAAAAGTACTTCATGGTGAATTTTGTTTCGTAATTCTTCCATTTTATTTCTCGATATATTGAGAAAACAAAAATTGTACGGTATTATATGCGACACTGCTCTTTCATTTTAATGGACTGACACTCTAGAATGAAAAACAACCGTCCACAACCGTATGAATTGATCCAAACCTGATTTGACACAGAGGTTTAATCCGCTGTAAATTGACCTAATTGGTAGTGTAAGTGCTAAGACTAAGGACAACCAAAATATAAAAACCTTTTAAAATTTCAATTGAAATTATTTCACATTCATAAAAAGTAATTAGTTTTTAAGTTTTCACTCGTCCGGAACTCGGTACGAATTTCGACTGAATCGACCAGCGATCTATCTGGAACAGTCCAAAGGTCAGTTTCTTTTCTAGGCACAAACTGAAGACAATAAATTGACTGTTTTATAAGCACCCACAGCCGGGCCCGCAGCTTATCAGTCATTTTATCTCAGGGATGCATCAGTATTTGCCGTCAGGGGGGCTCACCGCTTATTCAGTATCTGTCTCAGTGAGCAATTGTCCCTGACAATAACTTGAACAATTATGGTCAAATCAAGGCCAAGTCGCTTTGGTTAACAAAAGGGTCGCTAACGAGCACTTTCATAGAACTTCTAATTGCATTGCAGCAAACCCGAAAATTTGTGTGCTCTAAACCGACCTTGGGTTGATGTCGTTTGCACTGGCGAACACTTCAACAGACTGAGTTGGTCACGCTTTTGTAGTACAATTTGCAGTCCCAGTTGTCTGAAGTTAAATGACGAGGGAATGTAATTCCTAATTTTGTAGGAACTTGTTAAATAAGCTGAGAAGCTCTCAGACAAACTGAAAAATTTAGGAGGAACCGAATGAAACTCTATACGAATTTAATAATGTGGCCGAGTGACATTAAAAATCGTTTTCAATCAACTGGAATACTAACGTTCTGCGACAAAATGTTGAGCGCATCCAGCGCGTGCCAGCAAAATAACAATTTAACGAATGACTAAAGGTTAGATCACTGGAGTTTACTTCTCTAGACGAAAGTAACAGAAGGTCTTACCTTCGCTGTCTGATTTAGGTGCTTGAAAATCTTGGTTCCTTAATTGAAGCTCTTGTGGCGTTATATTGTCCCTGTTCCTTCAAAAGATCGAATCAAGTTCTGCTAGAATACGCTTTGCTCGACTTCACTTTCACAGCAGGTAACTTTCCTCGAGCTAAACTAGGGGGTAAAGAATTTCAAACTCTTTAAAAACAAATTAAACTTGTGCAACTTTAGCGTTCTTCCCAAATACCGTTGATTTACTTCGATCCAATGTTTAGTCGAACGTCAAAGAAATCCCAAAATTCTCTCCGCCGTCGGAGGTTATTAACCGATAACGATTAATAACATAACTACCAGTTGCCTAGCTTATCTTTGATGGAGTTTTCCGTTTGAGTGACTATGAAAGAGGTCGACAGAACTTAAAAGAAACAGTGTAAATTGATACAACTTACAACTTCTGTTTTTGGAGGAAAAAGTTTTAATGACCAACTCTTCTGCTGTATTGAGGCAGCCACAACCGAAATTTAATTTGTAAAATGCCACAAATGTGAGTCTTTTGATGTGGCGGCGGTAATTATTTTATACATTCTGGGTATTAAAAATAGAATCAAGCTTGCCCGAGGGATAAATGGTTCTTAGCATAAATTTCCCATGGCTAATTGCGCTTGTGTTTACCATTTTTCGGTAGTAACATCATTCCTTTCTTTCTCTTTTGTGTAGTTTTAAAATGTCTTGACTTAATTCAACCAGGCGAAGTCAGTTAAATTAAAGGGACTAAAATGTTTTATTATGATCTACAATGATTAAATTTACACTGTACTTTACAGTTTATGCCGGGTTGTTGTACCGTAAAGATGGTTCCTTTTAAGGAGCCAAAGAGTGTCAACCCTCTATGTTCGATCGACTGCCTCTTCTTAAAACTTGCAATTCGAATGCTTCCAATCAGGAAGCCCCGGTGAAGCAGAATGCAAAAATTGTTTTTTAATTACCAAACGTTATCTTGTCAGTTTCCATTAACTAATCTTAAAGATAACATTGACCCGAACGCCAGTTTGATATAATCTACCTAATTGGATATAGCTGTATATAACTAAATTGCTAGCTTTAACGTCACGAGAATTGCATCACCATCCAGTCGCTTTTTTTACAGAAAATGTTTTCAAGTTCTTAAGCAGTGTCTTTGTTTCCTCGTTCCCAAAGTTGTCATTGGCTTTCAACCATATCTTCAGCCTTCATCTCTTTGTTGACTGTGAAATCGTCCTCTCCTTGTAAGATAGACGAAAGTTGTGAGATGTACGAGGTAGCGCCAACTATCACGTCAAACTTCGTGGTTTTGTTGCAGTTCTGCGGAATGAGGGTCCGTAGAATTTGAATGTAGTTATTAAGGACACTTACACGATCTCGTTCCCGTGCATTTGCCTTCTTACGTTGTTTACTGACGCCGGTTAATCGTGGACTACGTCGCTTTTTGCGTTTGCAGTTTTTGGAGTCTTCTTCGGCTGTAAAACGCTCTGCAGTTGATGGAGGCATAATTTGTTGTCTTGCCAGGAACCTTTTTCAGTGCTATGACACTTTTGCGAACAGTATTGGCTGTTCCTTGAGTATCCTTTTGCAGTTCTTTTTAGCCCTGCACCTCGTTATCTAGCGTGGAGCCCTCGTATCAGCCACAGGTCAATCCTACAGCTGCTCGCTGAACAATAAGTTTAAAATTTAAAAATAACACACGCTTATTAATCATTAGCCTGTAATGGTTTCCTTCAGGATCAATTGTTTACCTTGAACACGTCAATATTGAAACAAAGGAACTATTCAAACCTTAACTCAGTTATCATTTGTGTAGTTAAATATACAATTTTAACAGTTGGCCAACAAGCTTTGAGAAATCCACCCAGTACTGAAATAAGCTGGATACTGGTATATCTTGTCGATTTCTCAATCTTACACTAAATTTGTATTCAACTTGTTTCATCTCAGTTACCTGCTTTTTAAAACAACTTCTTTGAAAAAAAACTTTCACCATAGGTGGTCCACCAAGAATTAATCAAGTCTAAACAATGTAAAAACTGCAAAATAAATTCAACCGTTTGTTCATAAATTGGTACAGTGAAGTTTTTATCCATCATGAGTGTAGGTTTCAGTCTTAACAACTATTATATGAACAAGTTTTGGTGAGATATTGTGTATTCCGCTTGCGGCTGCTTCTTCGAAAAAAAACTTAATTTCAATTCATCAAAGTCACTCCTTGTCGGCTTGCCTGCCACGTGCGCCAGCAGACCAAAAAATGTTTATCACTTTTATTGGCCAACTCCATGGATGTTTTCATTTTTGTGTCATAAAGAGCGTGTCCAGAAAAGCCAAGTATCTGTTCACATGTCAGCCCAGCCTACCTGACCGTGTCGGTCTTCATGTACAGCTAGGGCTTATCTTATATGTGAGTAACAAATCAAAACCTACGATACTTTTTAATGGACACTGACTGATCATAAATAGTTTGTTTGGTGTGGCGAGTGTGTAAAATGTTTTGATTCTTAAAAATGTGTTCGACATGGCGACGATCTCTCTCTTCGTCAAAACAAACTCTGGGCCACAGTAGGGAGTCAAGCCGCAAAAAAAAGCAACGAGCAAAGTACACTTAACACACAATACGATGAATGAATAACATTTATATGCAGAGTTATTCATCCTTTTCCAAACGAACCTAAAATTCTTATTTCCATGCTCTAATTTTGCATGGATCGGTTTTTATTGCCATCTAAGGATATTTTTTCCAGTTTGTTTGATCTCAGAGTCTTAACGAAAAGTTCAGATAATAATTTTTTACACCTGATATCATCAAGTATCTTTTCTTGAAAGTGATTTTGATAACTAAAGGCTTCCAAGGATACCAGCGCTGGTTGTTTTTTAGTCCGCTCTCTGAGCTCTCCTTGCCTCGCTCTATATAGTAGATGAGCCCGAGGGAAAGAAGATAACTTGCATACGCATGCTCAAAGCGAACCAAGCAGAGTGTGCAATGTGGTGGTGTTGGAGCGCGCCAGGACTTGAATGGCCAATTCCCTCTACTAGATGGTAGTTGTATTCATTATCCTGGACTCGCGGCTGGATATTTGTTTTGATGAATACAACTACCATGATTCCCTGCAGGCATTTCTTACAGAGAGAATCGGCCATGGCTCGTTCAAATGACGAATTCAACATGTTCAACTAGGGGACTAAGCACACGACGTAAATGCACGCTTAGGTTCTACTCCTACATTCCCGTTCTATGTAGGGGTTAAACACTAACGGGATAAGAGAGTCCAGGATAACATACATGCGCATGCTCAAATGAACCAATCAAAAAAGGACTTCAACCCCGTTAAAGGGAAAGGGAGAAATCACGGACTAAACTTGTTGGTTTTAAATTTCACGAGCTATGAAGGTCCAAACATGAAGGTCCATCCAACATAAAAACAAGAGAAGGGTTTCAGGCATTTTCATGTAAGTATGCGAAGTCATAGGACCGAAATCCTATATCACAGAGTGACACGTTCGGCTGCCCCGCTAGCTAAGGACCAAACGGCATGCGATAAGAAGCTTTCAAGGCAGAATTGGCAATGCAACATCTCTAAACACACTGGGCTGTACCCTGCGCGCCAGATCCAGTAGTTCTACCTAAAAATATAAGTTTTGTCTTCTTGGCAGTTTGGATAAGGAATGGAGTTTGATAGGGTGGTATAGCATCCCCTATATAAACTGGGAGCCATCAAGAATACCTTACAACTCATGGAAAGTAGAAAGATGTCGAGAGGATTCTCGCGAAGCAGACGATCTGATCCTTCTTTTTCATAGCTTGGACCAAATGCAAGACAAAACGTCAACTATGGAAGCGATGGGAGCGCAAGATAAGGCCCTAAAAGTGGAAACCAGATCGGTCAGATGATAAAATTAAAAAAATATCGCCAACAAAAACATCTTAACATTATGAAGCCAGACTGGAGAAAAGGGGACGAATTACAGGAGACACTACTTCGGGAGAGGACTCCCATGTAAATAGGACGGGGGTGCGCGTCAAAAAGAAAAGAATCCCTAAGAGGTACCAAGATCCTGTTTTGTGAGCGTAGCTTAAAATGTTTTTCACCAATTCTAAAACAACATATTATCTCCTGTCATATTTTTTTTTTCGGCTCAATACCCTAAAACGTACTGCAAAAGCTTATGCTGTGGATCTTTTGAGGCTGAAAACCCCAAGAGGCTGTTTTTTTTAATCCCTAGAGGGTACGACGAGTAACACCGTCCCTTTTATATGGGAGTTCCTCCGGGGACATCAGCATGAACTGGAAAAGCTAAGACCGCTTTTATCATGCTCAACAAGCTGAAACAGAGATGAAAGCTTGTCTGTCTAGGTTCAATGCTCTTCGCTGCTGGCTCAGATCGGATTTCCCATCAGATTCTAAGAATCTTCCACGAGAAGTCTGGAACATTCTGTGTACTTGATTGTTCCTTCCTAGCGCTTCTGAGCTGTAAAGAAAAACTCCCTTCAAGCTGGTAATTCCATTTTTTTCTTACTGATATTTTCTCTTGGTTTCTATAGTGACACCTGGATTCAGTAGCCGCGCGCCCAGGAAAGTCAGCGATACTATTTTATATAGTTAAGATACATTTTAAAGTGTAAATATTATAGTGTCCCCAATAGTTCCTAAAGCTAAATACTCTTAGACGCTCAAATAAAGTCATTCATTTAGTCGTTCGTTCGTTCATTCATCCATTATTACACGTAATAGACTAATTTCGATACATTATAATTCAGCCCAAAACAATAGACCTCGGTACGAGGCTCTGGGAATAACTGCAGAGTTTGTGGGGTTTATTCCCCAGAGCCTCGTGTTGAGGTCTATTGTGTTAGTCTGAATATTAATATATCGAAATTCGTCTATTTGCTGAGCTGAATTTGTCAAAAGCGGGAATACGGCGACTTCGTAACACGGAAGCCTGCAAGATGAAGAAAAGAAGCGAAATTATGTTTAGAATAGAGTGAAATGGAGTGTGGTTGTTGGAGGTCGATAGTTCCCTCAATGAGCAAGGTTGATCGAGTATTCAGATGAATTTTTTTAATATAATATGCTCAATCATTATGTGGCTACACAAAACTAACTTTCATCAAAGACGGTACGAAAGACGAGCACACTTCTGGACCCATCCTGCATTGCTAGAAGGTGCGATACTTGTCCGTATTCTGTAGAAATCTGCATATCATGGCATACAACTTTTAGTAATGGCGTGTGTCCGATAAGAGAAGAAGTTTCCCTTTACAAGATGTGGGCAATAAAAGAGACCTGGACGAGCTCACGAGTGGACATCGACTTAATGTTGGTCTCCTTCAGCGGGGATTAGACCATATCTATATTGCAGGATATCTATCGCCTTCCAAGGAAAACAATCACAAACACATAAAGATTTCGAGATAAACTCGCTTTAACGCGAACATTTTCCATCATTGTGTTACCCCATTTTGCAAGGTCAAGGTCTTGATATCTAACCTCGAAAGAGATAAGCAGTTACGCAGTTCACAACGTACATCATTACGAGGGACTGGCCCCGACCACCGCGGTATAAAGAGACAAACCACCGCAAGTGCAGCCGAACAACTGACAGATTTCAATCAAAGAGTTTTAGCGCGTTTGTGTCAATAATATAAAGCAAAATATACAGAGCAGCTTCCATTACAGTCAGTCAAATTGTATGGTTACTTTTAAATACTTCTTTTGGAGAGAAGACCAAATAAGCCTAAACTGTGTAGACTGCACCTTCCCGGTTAAGTCTACTTGTGTTGCGGCACTAGTAGCTAGATAAACGTAGACACTCAGGACAAAAAGATGTTATTTTAAGAGTCGTTGATTAGCTTAATGATCACACCGTTGTGGCCATTGTGTCGAAGATATTGCCGAAGCCTCTTGCAATCTCCTGAATCCCAAGGTCTCAGAGAATTACAGAGCTTGGTTTGCCAGAAATAACAAAAAAAAAACAGTTATAGTGCCTGGCGTTTTCGATGAGTTAAGTCTTAAATATGGGCTATTTAGACATAACTATATCAAATTAAACTGTGTTATCATCTGTATCTTTTCTATGTAACTGGATTGTCCGTGTAGACAAGTGCGTCTCAAAGATTGTAAACATAAGTATTTGTCATTTGAGTGTAATAGGGCGTTAAGAAATAGACGATGGTAATTAACGCAATGATAGAAAAACTCTTCACTTACAAAGTCATTCTCGACGAAGCTAAAGGGATTAACTTCGCACATCAAACATACCTTAATTTTTAACGAGTAAAAGGGTGTTAAAATGATAAAAATGCTATCCAAGGAAAGAATCAATGAAACGCAATCTTTTCTTTTTTTTTTTTTTT